ATAATGAAAATATTGTAACACCATAATTAAGTAGAAAGTTAATATGGATTATGATGATTGTACATCTAGATATGACAATATGGGCTAGCCCGACCTGCTAAAATATTGACTAACCCGGCCCAATCCATATTTGGCAGGGCTGACAGGTCGATGGGCTGGTCCGTTTTTTCTCTTTAATAAAACACATTTATAACTAACTCAATCACAATTTCAAAAATAAATAATCACCACGTCTCATAAATGACTTTTAAAATAAAAAATCACAAACCAAAGTCGACAATCTCACAATAATATATCGTCTTAGTTTAAAACTTGTAAGTTCTAAACAATAAGCCAACATAGTCTTGAACTTTTAGACTCCTAGTTCACAATAAAGTGTGAAACTCCTAAGTTTTAAGGATCAGATGTTCGGTTGGAAGAAGATGTCTCCACTTTTCTATGCAAAATGTATTCTTTTGAGAATGCTTGTATATGAGTATTAACAAATTTAAAGAGTAAATTACATTGATAAATAAATGTGTTGTATGTGATATAAATTACTCATAAATTACTTATGAGTTATAATATTACTAACTAATATAGTATAACATTTGCAACCTATTTAAAAGTTTATTAATAATATAAAGAATAAATTACACTGATATTCCATGAGTTTTAGTAAAATTACACAAACTATTATTCCATTTTTTACACTTACAAAAACCTCTTAATTTATAAACATACATTACATTGATAAACCTTGCATGAGAAATAAGTGTAATTTTTTAAACAAGAAAAATGATAAATGTAATTAAATTAAACAAAATATGCTATATGATATAAATTAGACACATATAAGTAAATATCTTGTATATGATATAAATTACACCGATAAGCAATTTACTCATAAATGTCTTGTATATGAATACTAAATTGGTTTCACATGACAAGTGTAAAATGTTCTGTTGGAAAACGATATTAAATTGGTTATACTATTAGAACCACATGTAACCTTAAAAGGCTAAAGCAATATTAATGTTGGTCCGGCGGACTGACTCGGCCCAACCCTCCATGGTCCGTCTAAAAAACGGATTTCCAAATCGAGTTGAATATAGATTTTTGGGCTAAAATTTCTAGTCTGACATCACTATTTTTGACATAGTCTCTTTCATGAACCATAATACTATCTTTTTCCCTTAACATGACACAATAAAGATTATGGTCCAACTTTAATTTATTTAATAAGATATTTATTCTTGTTATTTTTTTATTTCAGCCATGCCGTTTTGTTATCAAGAATAAGGTACAATTATTTGGTGAATTATTTCATTAGACCCGAAGTGACTTAGTTTATAGAAGTCTCCTCCTCTATAATACGTAAAACATTTAATAAATATTTCATATGAAAATTCACTGATTTTTTTTTTACTAGAAGTAAAAAAAGTTCTAAATACCAAAATCGATATTCACTTTTCACTAAAAAAAAAAAAAAATCTATCTCCAAAACATATGAAAATTATTTAATTCAATAACAATATCTCCCATTTTGATGAAAAATTTAGACCCGTAAGGACTTGATGGGTAGTGCTTAAAAGGAAATGGCTTTTACATTGAGATTAAATGTGTAGGACCTAAGGTTCAGTTAGGGTCACAAATTCACTGCCCAAATATTTTTGTTCTCTAACTAAGAAAAGTAAACAAACATCTACCTAACAAATCCTATCATGGCATTGCATTCCTTCATTGTCACTATATACTTGTCTTTAAAAACTTTAGCATAAATAAATAATAAGATCCAATGCATGTATATGTGGACTAGGAAGTCACGCCTACATAGACAGTCAAAGAATGAATAAATGTGTGCTAGAAATTTGGCGCCAACATATCCTAACTTTAAAGATCATAATACAAGTGAAAACAAAAGGAAAATGTAAGAAAATTGTTTGAAGTCCTTTTAAACTTAAGAGAATAATGTATTTCCTCGTATCATGAAATAACTTACCTCATCTCGCCAGTAAAAGAATGACATGTGTATTGTTTTGTTTAGTTCTAGAAATATTTTTTTGTAGAAAATGATTAAATGGTACACATGTCACGATTTTAGTGGTTGAATAAGATAATTTATCTCCTTATATCAAGAGATACATTATTTTCTAAACTTAAATGGTCTCTACACTTTGGACTATATAATTGTACGGACCTAAAATATGTATCATTCCATGTATTTCTTGTTTCTCATTAGTCAAAAAATATAAGGTTTATATATATTTAATTTTTTTATTTTTCTAACCAATAAAAAACAAGTATTATATGGAATAGTACAGAATATGCGGTTCCATAATTCCACATATGTCACAATATATACATAGAATTTGGCAATAAAATACCAGAAAGGCAAGGTTTGTAATTGGCCGCATTATCAATATTATAAAAAACGATTTAAATGTGTAGAAATATCACTTATTTATAGGCTACATAATCCCAATATAAAATGACTGCACATAATAATTTCTTAACAATAGCAAAGAAGCTTCAATCTTATCCATTAACTAAGTCGGATTGAAAAATGATATAATGTTCTATCTTAAATAATGTTCACAAATCATTGATCAATAAATATTTCTTAATTATTTTGCCTTCTTGGTCTCTTTCTCCCTCTAGGAATTCGACTAACATCCATTTGATCTCTTATTTTGTAGGACTTTTATCGGTTTCCTCTGCACATGTCCAAACTACATAATGTGTGATTTTAACATCTTTATACAAAGCTACTACAACTTTCTCCTTAATACATTTATTTTTAATCTTATATTGTTCAATGTGTTCACTCATATAATATAATCTCATCTTTATTATACGAAATTTATTATTTAGTTGATATTTTACCTTCGAAGTAACATTCAGTCTTAAATTAAATAAATATTTTAAATAACAATTAAAATACCAAATGAAAGTTCATGGTATTAAAATCAAATCTACAAACAAAACAATAAATCCTTAATAATAGTGTTAAATCCCTAAAGAAAAAAAAAAGCTAAATAACAGTTATCAATGTAACTCACAAGGACTATAACAAAGATATTTACCATGTTGGAGCTTCTAGGTGTAAAGCTGGGAGCACATCTGTTGTACCACAAAAGTAGGAATGACAACGGGCGAAGCGGGGTCGGGTTTGTACTTATTCAACCCCGAACCCGAAGTTCAAAACCCGAACCCGAATTAAGCTGGATTGGAAATAATGATATCATCCCCGAACCCGAAAAAAACCCGAAAAAACATATATTA